GGGCGCTTCCCGCGCGGGCGGTTTAGCCGTTCCAGTCCTCGCGGAGCGGGGCGCCGTACGCCGCGGGCCAAGAAGGACCCGGAGACTGCGCGCTGTCCAAGTTCGCCGCCGCCGCAGCCGCGGCCGCCACGTGGTAACCGCCGTAGTCCGGGTACTGCGGGGGACTGACAAAGTTCTGCGGCGCCAGGTTGAGGCCGCCAGAGTGGCGTACAGAGCTTGGGTACATGCTCACGTCCTTGTCCAGAAGGTAGCTCACGTACATGGTGGCGAGGGCCCGAGAGCAGACCTAACCATGCTGCCTGGGAACAGACGATTGGGGGCTGCCAGGGGCGCGACAGGGACCGGGCGAGGGGACGCGAGGAGCGGCGGGTGTCTGCGCCTCAGCCGGTGGTGCTCCGCAGGCTCCTTGCGGCGCTTCTGCTTCCTAGGCGGTCCCTCCCTCTGGCCTGCCTCCTCCCTCTATCCCTCCCTTTCTTCCTTTTTTCCTCCCACCTCCTTCCCACTAGGCAGCAGAGGCGGGGGAGACCCGCCGTGCGGAACCCCAGGCCGGCAGCCTTACGTGATTAACGAGTGTTTACAAGACTCTATTAGTAATGACACAGACACCAATGGCTGGAGACGTCGAGGCGCAGCGTGCACCCAGCGCACAACCCCCCGAAACACGATTTGCATTTTAAAAGATAAGGGGGGGAGAGCTCGTGAGAGGGCAGCGACCCGATCACAGCTAAATATTCAAACCTTTGTTAAGAGCTTCCTCCTTCCAACCTGGTGCACTTTAACCTCCAATCACAGGTTCAAAGAATGAAATCAAGAGACTTGCAAAAGAGAGGGGGGAAAGAAAGAGCTATCTTGGTGGGAATCTGGGCCAGGAGACCGGAGCCGTCGTGTTTATGCATTTTCAGGGAAGGGGGTGGTCGAGAAACGCCTTGTATCCCAAAGAGAAAAGAAAAGGGAAGCTATCGCTTTGATGAGAGCGTTCCTGGCCAACCAGGGAGGTGACCAGCGGAGCCCTTCAAAATGAGCAGATTCCTTCCCGCCCTGTGCCCCTAGCCAGGATCACTTCGGGGCCCCAAATAACTGTCATAGCTAATCATTTATTTTCTCCTCCAAGGAAATCACTCACCCTTCCTATGAGCTGAATTATGACCCTAGCTTGAGACTGCATCTCCAAATTCATCTTACATTTGCAATTCCAGTTAAATTAAAACACTGCATTTTTTTAAAAAATTTACCTTCAAGAACAGAAAGTCTTTGTATTTAAAAAAATATATTTACGTTGAAGAACAGAAAAATCTTAACTCCAAACCCAATGGACCTGTGGTAGAAGTTAGGCTAGTCACCCCGGAGGGCAGTAATTGAGGGGCTCCAGGAGGCAGCTGGGGTCTCGGTAATGGTCTGTTTCTTGAGTAAGGGGCTTGTTTACATGGTGTGTTCAGGGCGTGACTCAGTGGGCTGCACGCGATGTTTCTTGCGTGGGTGGCTGAAAATTAAGGAGAAGTGAGCCCAGAGTTCTGCAGATGCCAACGTAGATCTTCGTATGTTTTACATCATACCTATGTCTTAAATGCACTTTGCTCCTTTACAACGTGAAGCATTATCTGAAGAAAATTGTTTTGTTTTGTTTTTCATTTATTTCCAGGGGATGGGAAGGTTATCTGGGGCCATTATTGTCGATTATTGTAAATGAAAAACAGGAAAGGATGGAGAAAGGATCCCTCTTGGTTTTCAGAGCGCTGTGGCCCAGGGATCCAGGGATGGAAGTGGCCTCCGTAGGAACCCGGGTTGCGAGGACAGGATTGGAAACTGCCAGAAACGAAGCGCAGAGGCGGCACGAGGCGGGGAGCGAGTCAGCTGTCGCCGTCTGCGGGTTCTCTGAGACCCAGGGGCGCAGCCAGACTTGCCTATTAGGATCGGCGGCTGGCTGGCCGGCGGGACGGCGCGGCAGCCTGACTCCGTGGCTTGGAGCGTTCTCCGGAACCCGGAGCCCTCGCCTCTGTCCCGGGTATCTGCACTTGTTGGTTCTCATTATCAAGTGCTTCTCCCAGGTATTTGTTACCGTCACCTTCATCCTGTCATTTCTGGAGCACTTTCCAGTGTCCTTTATCTTTCTTGATCCTCACATCTCCCGGATCAGGGACAAAGCCTGTGTGGTTATCCTTCCCGGTTTACAGGTGACAACCACCAGGCTGCTGGGTGCAGGTGGAGGGAAGTGCGTCAGCTTAGGGCTGCAGGGTTCTAAGCCTTTGAGTTTTGTAAGGAGGAGGTTAAAATTGGGCATATCAGGATAAGCAAGAATTGCACTTGAAGATTCGCACTTAGAAGGTAGAAGGCCCAAGAGGATTCTCCCAGAGGTCTTGACAGGCTTGGCTGAGCCAAGTGTCCCCAGACTTTGCTAGAAATAAAACTAGAAGTCAATCGCGAACTCCCTTACAGAGCCTAAGTCACTGAGGGAAAAATGTGGTACCAGAAGGTGGGAGGTTCAGTGGGGGGCACTGCAGACTTTTGATCTAACAAACATTTCCCTCAGTTTCCCCTGTCCATCCCCCAATCCCTCCTCCAGCCCTGGGCTCTGGAAGCCAGGCTGAGGCCCAAGGAGTTGGTGTCCTCGGAATGCAGGCATTCTTTGGAACAATCGCTTTATTAGAGACAGCCATCCTCTCCGCCCTGTGGTGGCCGCTGCTTCCTGCGTTTTTATGGCCCAGGCTGCCGGCCACTGACTAATTGTCCTGCTTTTCCAGCTGTGTCCCTGTGCTCTGCCCTGAAGAAAGGCTCTGGCCCTGCACACCCAATTCCTTGGCCCCACGGGTCAAACCAGACCCGAGTGAGCCAGGCCATAGGGAAACCTGAGGCTCATTTTGGGATGCTGGAGCTGGGGGAGAGAAAACTATCGTGAAAACTGATCAGTTTCACTCATTGCAAAACGGGCCACTGCAGCAGAAGCCTGACCTCACCTACCATCCCAGCTCTGAGCTGTTTGGTGAGCACAGAGCTGGTAAAGGATGTCCTTGGACCAGCTCCTCAGAGTGGAAATGTCCCCCAACATCGTTGAGGTTGCCCTCTTAGCCAAAAGAAGGCCCGGTGGAGTCCCTGAAGGTGGGGCGTGGAAGCAGTCAGAGGGGTAGAAGGAGGCTGGTGGGAAGGGAGCCTGGGTGTCTTTTCACCAGGACAGCCCTTAGTCCCTGGCAGGTTGTTGGCATGAACCGTCCTTTGGAGGCTGCTGGGGGAGGGACAACCCCTCCAGCCTCTGAGCGCAGTTGTGTAGCCCTGTGAGAACACAGGAGCCATCTGCATCAGGGCCGCAGCCCAAGGTGTTGTGGCTTTCCTCGAGCTCGTTGACATGAGCTGAGAATCCCTCAAAAATGACCAGGATGGTGTTCTCAGCGCCTGCTGCTGACTACCTAAGGCATCTTTCCATTCTGTCCCTCTGTCACCAACTTCACTGTCGGGCGGTGAAGCCCGCAGCAAATCACTTGGGGGAGACAAATTTGTTCAGGAAGCTTGGAGCTGAGGTTGCAGAGACTGAAGCTGCGACCTCACAGAGCCAGAGTTAGAGACAACTTTTATGGGTAGGAGAAGGGGAAGAGAAAGACGCAGGGAGAGAAAGCGACGGGCGGGCCCAGCCATGACCATTTTATCAAAGGGACATGTCTTTGTTACTGACAGCATAGAGGCCATTCCACATTCCTCAGAGAGGGTCCAGTCTTCAGGAACCCAGCTGGTGGCAAGGGCAGGGGACATGGGGGTGGTGGTGGTGGTGGTGGTGGTGGCTCCCTCCCTGCTCAAAGGTCCTAGGTGTTTGTTCTGGCCAGGGAGACCCCTCTCTGCCTGATGTCTGTGCTCCCTAGAAGCTGGGGCGCCCAGCGACCCTCATAACTGAGGCGGAGCAGGCCATCTCTAACTTGCTTTAGCATGTGAGTCTACTGTATGAATCTAGAAAATGATGCGAACAATGCAGTCCTTCCATATCCCTGTCCTCCCTGGCACAGGAAACCCTCACTCTGCATCAACCCAAATTCCCAGGATAATCAAGGAAGAGTGGGCAGAATGTGGTCTGATGAACATTTCCAGCACGGCAGCAGTTTTACTGCTGTGTAAAAACTGTTCAATCTCCACTTAATTTGGAGTTTAGGGAGTCTTTCAGCCATTGGGCTGGCTCAATGAGCTGTCCGCTCCTACAAAGAAAGGCTAATAATGGATGGTTGGACCCCAACACCCCCACCCTACCCTGCCAGCGTCCACTCAGCTAACATCTCTGGGAAGGAAATCGATGACAGTGTTCTTTCTGTAGAGGCCACCACCTGCCCAGCCCCATCAGGCCACAATGGAGCCCAACATGTTCATCGTGAACAGCAGGGAGGGGCCGCAGCTGCCCACAGCTGCCCGGGCTTCGTTCATTCACAGGGACAGCTGTGTCCTAACCCCCTAACCTGGGGTGGTGAAGGTTTTTTCTGTCATGCACACTGGGTGTCTGGTCCTTTCTACCTGAGGAAAAGTTTCTGAATTTGCAAGAAGTCATTGGGGGTCTCGAGTTTTACCACTCAGGGACGCGAATGCTGGAGAAGAGGGTAAGGAAAAACAGTCGTTCCTCTTACACCTCTCCCTGACAACGGCCAAGCTTTCTGATCCAAGGCAGGAACTACATTTTTTAAAAAGATCTTTTCTTTTAAAATTTGCTTTCTTTGTGATAGAACACGTGCATGTTGGAGGGGGGGAGAGAGAGAGAGAGAGAAGTGAATACCCTGCTCAGAGTCTGGTCCCATTCCTCCAGCCCGTCAAATTCTGGGCACTCACATGCAAGGTGTGTTTCAGGCTGGCCAGCAGGGGTTCGGCTGCAATGGCCCTGCGCACTCCATCTTCTTTTGAGCATCGCGTTACTGTGTGTCACAGAGCTAGCCCCAAGCAGGGGATACATTTTTTTTTTTTCTGATCCTTTATCTAAAGCTTCAGGATAGGAGATAATATTTGAGTACAGAAATCTGGTTTTGCTTACTGGGTGAAAGCTACACAAATAAGTGGTAATTTCCCATTTTCTTCTTTTCTCCTGAAATTATAGTCAGTGGAACTGCTAGGGCACTGTGTGATGCATTCTAATTCTGTGTAGGGGATGAGCACACGTAATGACTTAAATCCCTGAGAGAGAGATTTAGGAGGTACATAGATCTGTGTCCCTACTGAAGTGGGGCTCCCTCCTCCCCTAGGAAACTGCTTGATGTGAGGGAGAGCCGTTTAGTGATACCCACGTGACTTTGGTGTGGAGAGCCTTCAGTCAGCATTTGTTCACTCACCATTGCCTGCTGCATGGAATGACCTTTGTTTATGATATGAAAATATGTTCCTAGGAAGCCCTGCAGAGTAAGTTTTCTATGGGTTTGGGAAACAGCTCAGATAAAGTTTCACTTCTCCTTGAGGCATGGGGCTCACTGGGTAGCTGCTTTCCTAGATAGGAGCTAGGGGTCTTCGAGTCTGATAAAGAAGATTCTGAGGCCCAGATAGGTTAGGTGAGTTTTCCAAGGCCACACAGACAACTGTGCAAGTCCTTAAAATGAAATGAGCGACGGCGTGCAGTCTTTGCAAGCCGCAGTAGTCTTTTGTAGATGTAAATTACTACATGACTGCTAGGGCTAGTCTGGAAACACGCATCGCATCCCTGACACAAAGTCTACTGGTATGACTCAGGGAATCAGAGCTGGCCCCGCCCCCCCTCCCCCCCCACTCACCAAGTAGTACCAGAGCAGGTTCTGCGGCTGCTGCAATTCTGACCACTGACCACTTTCTGTTCAGCCCTCCGTTTCACTGACAAGCCCACCTGCAGTGTATTAGTTTATTGAATGTTGAATTTTCCATAAATTCCATCTTAGATCCCCCCCCATTACAAAGAAGATATCCATCTACTATACCTTTTGTCTTACAGAAGATTGTTTTGGAAAAGAACTCTATTGTTTTGGGATCAGAACTTAAATACCTTGTTTCCACGTGGAAATGTGTCACATCTAAATCAAGTAAAGATATGCACAGAATTTGCGTGTGGCCTTTTCCCCTCCTTTCTTACCACGGTAGTGTTTGTGGGCCATCCTGGGTAAAGGAAAAGGAAGCCCTGTTCAGTGTCCCAGCTGCACAGGGGAGGGATAGGGCAGATTCAGCGGCTCCGGAATCCTCGCGGGAGTTCCTCCATCGACCCTTGGTTCCAAGCGTAGTCTGACTGGGCTTCGGTATTTCAAAGGGACGTGAAGAGCAGGGAAGCAGTCTCCACCTCCTGAATGTGTTTGGATGGGATGTCGGGTTACAGAAATTGAAATCGGCCCCTCGCCTTCCCATTCAGCATTGCTGCCAACGTGGCGAGTAATTCTTTTTTTAAAAACAAATGAATAAGTAAAATATTAAACCTTCATTCTGGAATCTGCACTGGCCACGTATGTGCCCCCTGATGCTGCAGCCACCGCCCAGAGCCTGTGTGTGTGTGTGTGGGGGGGGGGACCCAGTTGGTGGCCACGGTCCCTACGGCTGGGATTTGTCTCCCGCATCCTGCGCCCCAGAGGCAGAAACGAGATATTATCTCGGCCCACTGAGGCCAGCCAAAGTCCAGAGCATGTCCGTGTTTGAGCCAGGAAGTGGCCAGAGAAAGCTGTCCTGCCAGACATTGGCAACTACAGGTGATGACCAGCTGAAGGGACAGCCTCCGTCTCTTCCATCCCTGAGAAGGGAAAAAGAAGAGCCACCAGCGGCTTTGCCTGCTCCCTTTCTCAGCCCAGTGCCAATGTCCGGGTCTGCCCTCACTTCACTGGGGTGTCTTTGGAAGAGGTGCTGCAGTCTGCAGTCTGTCCCCTCATCCTTTGAAATGAGCAGATTCAGCACCTGCCCCGCTGGTACCCCTTCCTGCAGGATCAGTTCCCTCTCACACAAGCTTTGAACTATTGAAATGTCATGGTGTAATTGAAGACACTGGGTCATCCCTGAGACGACTACTAGCAGTCAGGATACCTCTGAGAATCTTGCCTTGGTGGGCTGCGTAAAACATTGATGAGTCCATTTATGTAAGGAAGCCCAGACTCTGCATTTTGGGATCCAGCTACCCAAGGTGGGTTTATCCAGGGTTGGGAAACATGCCTTGAGTGCAATGGGTTATTTTGAGTCTCAGTCTCAAGCAGCAGGTTTTGCTGGGTGTCAGGAAGTCCCCCAAGTTACCCTGACTCCAGGGAGTCAGGTGTGTAGCTCCAGGCCCATGGCCTCAGGCCTCGGAGTACAAGAACTGAGTCACCCAGTTTCCCTCTGTTGTGTGCACCTGGCACTCCTACACCCAGAGAAGGTGCCTCAGCACAGGCCAGGGACTCGGGGTGCAGCTTGTCTCCCTGACACCTGCCCGGTCATCAGCTTCTCTTGCCTTCACCCTTCCTACTAGCAGGGAACACTGTAGGATGGCGAAGGGTAAGGACTTCCTTGGCTGTAATTCCTAGTGCTCCAAGAGTGATTGTTTCTGTGGAATATCAGTCCCGGAATCAAAGGTGTGTCTTCACAGCCCTCTGTGGGAAGATTTGCTCTCCCTGCTGCTGGGCCCGCCACGGCTGCCGCCAACCCAAAACAGGGCTGGTAACTCATGGAAGCTCTTGTCTTCCAAAGGGCCAACGCTACCTCCACCTCTTACCCTGTCTACTGGGGAGGACAGGGGTGGTTCTCCACTCAACGGGGACCTAAGTATTATTTGTTGAGGTCCATTACACCTCCCCTGAGAGGGAAGAGAGAGAGACGAAGCGTGACTGTGGGGCCTGCAAGCCCCATGGCTGACAAGCTCCTCAGAGCAGACCTACTCTGTCTGGAAAGATTTCTAGGGGAACTGATTTTCCTCCATTTTATCAGTACTACAGAGTCCAGTGCATCCAGCCCTCTGCCTGATGAAAATTATTATTATTAAAATAACTGATGGGTTTTCGGGGACTGTCCAGTCAATCTGCAAGAACTGACTTTCAGGAAAAACAGGGGCCGCTGTTCCAGACCTTCAGCCAGTTCAGCGTGGAAGTCCCCGTCAGCCCCCAACTATTTTCACCCTTAGGAGGAAGGGCTGCAGTTACTCTGTCCGTCCCCACAGGGCGCCTTGACCCGCTGGCCCTTCCACCCCGCTCTCCCCTGCCTACAGCCAGCAGCTACTCCGCCGCCCCCTCCCACGCCTTTCCCGGCGCCCCGGACCCAGGCCACGCTTTGCTTTGCTAGCTCAGGCTCCACAGAACGAGAAAGTCACTTCCGCCCACATGTAAACGTCAAGGGCAGCCAAGGAGGTGAGAAAACAAAGACAAAAACAAAAACAAACAGACAAACCGCTGTGGAATAAAAGATTCCTTTCCTGTCGGTTTTGCTTTGCAGCTCCGGCTTAACAGAGAAGGGCGCGGAGCCGAGAGCTGGGTAAGCGCTTTGGAATCCACAAAGGCTGATGGTGTCTGCAGGCCGCAAAGGGAGTGAAGAATTGAAGCAGTGAGCTGGATAAATCGGGGGCAAAGCACTAAAACCAGGCATATTTTGGCAACGCGTGCGCGTGTGGGCGGACGGACAAAAGCGCTCATTACTCGTATGATTGCTTCAATTCTCCATCTCCTTTGTGGACGCCGTGAGGCCGGAGTCTGCCTCCCGACGCGGGCGCACAGGACACGGCCGCGTCCCCAGCGCATCTCGCGGAGCGTCCAAGGTGCCCGGCCCGTGCGGCAGCTCCA